CCCCCGAGCCCTCCAACCCACCCCCACGCTGAAGGACAATTGCCTCCTGCAGAAAGAAGCAAGCTAATGAGATCTGACGCCTTCTTCCTCCATCGTATCAGACAGCAACACCACCCGGTGCCGCGCTGCGCGGACTCCCGACATTTCAATGCCAGAGACGTGTCATTAGCACAACGTGGGCTTTCCCAGTGGAACAGCTTAATTTTGGAGGTGGTGCAGGTCGGCTGTCTGCATGGATAGAACCAGACTCTGTTCCTAACGAGTACACCCCTCCGAATTCCACAGGAAACATCAGCCCTTCTTCATTACCAGCTCTCTCTCACCCTGCACTTTGGCAGGTTTATTTCTGCCGCCGTGCTGCACCTCGCAGCTTTGCTGGGCCTTTTTTTACAAGCCCGCTCCCAAACGAGTTAATGAGCAGCTGTAACTACACCATTTACACACTGAGAGAAGGGCTGGGTCAGAACAGCATGGACTGAGGTCAGGGGATCCTCCGTGGATTGAGATGCTTCTCCTACAACCTGTGCTGCGGTCTGAGGATGAGGATGGAGCGGGTGATGAAATCGGGCTGTGCTCTTTGTGCTCCGAGGCTGGTGGCACATGGGGGACCTGGGTGAGATGTGTGCAGAGGAGGAGGAGGAGGGAGGGAGGATCTCCCAGGTCACTGTCTCCCCCTGAGGATATAATTTAGCCCCTGAGCTTGGCTTCTGTTCAAACACTGGGCAAAACCCAGCAGCCAAGACACCAGCCCTGAGGAGAGAAGAAGGTAAGGTTTCTGGTGAGTCTGGCCGTTAGAAATTAGCTCCTCTGAGCCTACAGGCGGATTTTCTTCCCGTGAGACATAGCCTGCTGCTGTCTGTGTTGGTCTGCAACACGAGCACTCCCTCCAGAGCACCCTCCTTCTCAACCAGATGGACCGGGGCCTGAAGCCTCCATCTGTGCCTCTGGGGTGGCCACTTCCCGAGAAGAGGGGCGCAGGGGATTGGGATCTCAAACTCTTGTGAGCACTATTCAGTTTGAAGATAAAATTTTTCTTCAGAGTGAGCTTTGCTACAAGTTTGCCAAGAAACTACATATCATTTTTGTCTCAAAAAAAGGATCACGTTCTTTCAATTTTATTCAAACTCATTAAAACAAAAACTGATATTCTTGCTTATAAAAAGAAACAGAATTCCTTAATTCCTACAGCAAGAATTACCTGATCTGCTGTATCTGACACTGTAACACACCCAGTGTGAGTAGCTACCGAGTCATTTCTTCAACTAATGTTACCTACACAAGGGGCACAGAATATGGGCTTTTTCTTATGTAAAAATAGATACCTTTCAATCGAATAACCTCTCTGCCCTCAGTCTTAACCAGGCAGGGGTAGAGGCGTGACAGAGATTGCTGACTTCCCCAGGAAATTAAGTCAAACAATAAAGCAACTGGTTTGAATATATATGATGGTGGCAGAAGAACTAAACTGCAGAAGCATCTCAGCCAGGCCCTCACCGCGGTGTGTGTGAGTGAAAAGAATTTCTCTGCCAGTCACAAAGATCCAAAGCCATCGTCTGGTCTCTGCACAGAGAGGTGCTTTTCAGAACAACTCAGCTATTCCCAGTGCAGCTGAGTCAGCCTGTGACCAGATGCTGATCTCATTTCACCCTAAATGCTGTGAGATTCCATTAGCTTCAGCAGATTTACATCAAATTTACAGGGATGGGAGATTAGCATCTGGCCTCCTTTAGTGAATGAATACTGAACTCTGTATTACACTTGTTCACGCAGTATCTACTTTACCTTCACCATGCTCTGCGCAGAGAATACCCACTTAGGACTATGTGCAATTGCAATGTTCAAAACAAACCCTCTTTCATTGACTATGTGCAATTGCAATGTTCAAAACAAGCCCTCTTTCATAAAAAAAAAAAGAAAAAAGAAAAAGAGAACTGAATGGAGAAATAAGAAAATGAACAAGAAAAAAAAAAAAAAAAAAAAAAAAAGAATTGAATGGAGAAATAAGAAAATGAACAACAAACAAACCAGGGGACAAACCAGAAGGATCCTGCACTAACATCTTGTCAATCTGATTTTTGCAGCACCAGTGACATCTCAGAAAGCTACATATCTGCCACCAACACTGATAAAACTCTTCAATTCTTGCTCACCGAGATGGCAGCAACAACTGAATGACATGAAAATTCACGTGGACAGAATTTCACTCCACATTTGCTGCAATGGATTCAGACTAGACTTCTTTGCAGGACTTGCAGTAAGTCATCTTTCCCTAATGTAAAGGGAGAACCACCTCATCTCAGTGCTGTTCCCTTCCCTCCCTATCTCAAACCACACACACACAACAGGGACTTGTCTGCACAGAGGCCCGGTGGCCACAGCTGGAACCAAAGCGTGGTTCCACCTGGGCCTGCCAGGCTGATGCTCCACACCAAAATAAAAGCAATTTTAGTCTGGAATACCTGTTCCATGGGGTTTATCAATCTAAGCAATGTGAATTTTCCAGGGATACAGAGATGCTTGCAATAAAGTCCTCTGTGCTGTGTGTCCTGCCCTCTCTAGCTCCCCGGTGTCTGAGAGCAAGTCCACAAAAGCCCTGTCATCCATCCAGACTCCTTTCAGCCACAGATTTACATTTCCAACTGCATTTAGCAGCACAGGAGCCTTGCACTGGTGACCCAAGGAAGGGAGGAGAGCATTTGCACCAAGTCTTTGAGCCACTGACTCTCAGCAGCAAAGCACACTGTCCCTTTGGAGATCAAGGGGATGGGGTCACACCTACCTTCTCCCTGTTGCTGTGTGCGGTGAGGGATCTGTGAGCAGCCCCCCTCAATGCTGTTCTGTAGTTATAGAAGTTACCAGTAGGGTCCATCTGGTGCTAGATACACAAAAGAAGACATGTTCATTAGAAAGCGACCTGGGTCCTCTGAAGATAACTGTACCCTCCGTTGTAGCAAACCCTGAAGAGAACCTAGCCCGCAACGAAAGACCTACAGATCATGGCTGTTTGTACTTTTGATTTTTCTAGCAACAGCTTACTGAGCTGTTATGTGAAGAATAAGGACTGCACGTTTTATCTATGCCAAATCCTGGTATCCTCAATACAAAAACAACCTTGGGCCATGTTCACTTGATGTCCAAGGTATAGCTTGGGAGCTTTACACTCAGCATTGCGTCTGTGGCCACTGAAAGCACTTTGGCTTGCATATAAGCTCATATTTTTGGGTTTTTTTCCTCCTATTTGTTTGAGTGCTTTGATTCTCTTCTACATATCAGCAGCTTCACACCTTCCTCACTACAGCTGGGAAACTCCAGCAAGAATCTGGCCCTCTGCCTGTGAAACACGTCTGCAAACATCTCATACCTGGATAACAATGTGAACACAAACAAACCAAAAAACCCCCCACAATATTTAATTCAAGCAGAGTATCAGCACCTTTTTTTTTTTTTTACCTCAAGAATGAAAAATTTGGCTGTTTTCACTTTTGACCAAGTCTTCTTTAGCCTGGAAACTGGACTCATGTTCATTCCAGCTAAGAGTGAGAAAGGAGAAAAGAGAGCCATGGATCAGAGTCAGGTTTCGTTTTTCATGTGTGACAGCTGAGGGAGAGGTCTGGTTAGAAGCTGTACTTACAAATGATAGCCATCAGCGAATTAAAATTCCCTATGTTAAAGCACTCCCGGGCAACGTCAATGAAGAATTCGATGACCTGTGCTCGCTGTTTCTTTTTTGCAGGCTGCAAATTAAAATAAATGAATATCTGTAATAAGCACATGCGGAATTGGAGAGCATCTTAAGTTGTTCCATTTACATCTGCTATCACTCGTTGCAGGCTGCAAATTAAAATAAATGAATATGTGTAATAAGCACATGCAGAATTGGAGAGCATCTTAGTCGTTCCATTTACATCTGCTATCACTCACTGGCCCCAGTTCTGTTCCAGCAATCCAGTGGATGCTGGTGAGTGGCAGTCTCTAAAATCAAAGCTTTCCTTGCAGTGACACTGAAGAAATTCACAGCAGTTCCCAGGCCTTGCCTCAGTCCCTGGCTCAGCGTTGGAACAGGCAGCACAAACAGCTCTGCAGCAGCTCAGCTCCCCGCTGCCCTCCCTCCAGCCAGTGGGCACATCGGCACAGACTTTCCTTAAGGGCAGGATTTCACACCCACAGAACAGCAGCATCTTTGTCCCAGAAAGACTTTGTTTCACTGATTAATCCCCTCTTTTGGCCCTTTCAGCAAGACCAGGACAAAGGGAAGCTTGCATTTTAAATCCACATTTTAACTGGACTGGAAACACTCCACCTTTTCTAAAGATCATCTTCAAATGGTAATGCTTTTGAGTCACAGGCTATCTAGCCTGTTTATATTATTACTATTCCTCCCTTCCACACCCTTTTCAAAGGAGAAAACATTCATTTCATTTCCATGAGGCCAAGTTAAACAAACTAAAACCACTACCAAGTTAAAAAACAACTAGTCTTGGTAATGGGCAGCAGGACAAAGAGCCAGGCAATGGCAATTCACGCGCACAAGAGAGCTTTCCGATGACAGATAACAAATACTTGCTCCACTAGAATCTTTTCCAGCAGAAGTCTCACAGGATAATTCAAGGCATTTTTTCCTCTCTTTTTCCCTGCAGGGTTCATTATTCCACACTGTGCTGCTACTACATCAAGAGAACAGTGCATCCCCCGTGTGTCACCAGCTCTGTTTTGCAATATGTTTGTCATTTATTAGGACGCTTCTGCGAGTGCAATATTAGTAAAACTTACCACCAGATGCTTAGCTAGGTCATAAGAAATAAATCCCCAGGTTTTGCTTATTAATGTAAAATCTCAAACTGGTACTTCAGGCATGTGGTAAAACACACCACGTTCTTTTCCCTTACCATGCAAATTTCTGTTGCTACAAGATAGCAGAGTCTATTGAACCATTTCACATAGGCCTCAAGGTTACTCGTCTTCTTCTGTTCACTGAAACAAGTCTGGGGAGAAAAAAAAGCACAGAAAGACATATAGCTGTGTTTCAGTCAGCCTCCTGATCGCTAAGATAAATACTACACAAAGGTAGTTATTGGCCACATCTCCCTGATGCAAAGGGAAAACTGCATTAAGGGCCCCTTTCAAAATTTCAGTGGGTGGTGGGTAGCAGATGCAGAGGGTCCAGCTGAGAGTGTCACACCACAGAGTTCACACCAGCGTATGGAAGACAGCCCCTGCACTGACCCTTCTTCACTGGGGTATTAACAGCTGGGGCATCACAGGACTCAGACAGCAACAAGAATACGCAGAAAGAGTAAGACAAGCGCAGTCCTCCTCAGCATGCTCAGCTGTGGCTTTGATTCCAGGAATTCCTTCACTTCAGGAAATGCAATCACCCACAGCCCTTTTCTGGAGGGCACAGACCATAACTTAGTGAAGTGAACAAGAGATAAGCAAGAGAAAACACAGTTCTTGTTGCTTCTTTTGGAAAAAAAAAAATATATATTTTCCTTATTGAGTTTTCAGAATAATAGGCTCTCTAGTGACCAGCTCCGTTTCGATGGCTGCTCTTGCACAGGTCACTTACATGCCAGAGATACTTCACTGATAAAAGCCATTACAAGAAGAACATTTTTCACTTTCTCATCTGAAATTTAACATAAATTCCCATAACCAGTACAGTCTGTGGGGGCAGATACTTGGCTGAACTCTTCCAGTTCCTTTGACATCGACAGATAATCCGACTTCAGCGGAGCGATAGGGCAGCTCACACAGCCTGGAGATGCTGCTTGGGATTATAAAAATACAAGTCCTTTTCCCAGGCCTAAATTCTTAGGCTGCCCATCTAGGCCACACTGCTCCCTAGAGTTCACGGGATTTATTCGAACATTCATTAACGACCACTAGAGGGTATCAGAGAATACTCATTTTTTGTTTTATTAGACGATTATTTCCCAGGGCTGCCATAAATACACGGCACTAAGAAGAAAATCACAAAACATAAACACAGATCCATTACGGTCAATGGGATTACCCGTATGATGCAAGTTAAACAAGAGACTAAAACCCCTTAAGAAATGGGCTTTGTATGATTCCCAAGGTAATTCAAAGTAAGACAATATTCACCCGTGACTTTGTATACAGGCATGTTTAGAAACAGAAATCACAGTACCATGCTATGGAGCAAATCTTAACAAGCCTGAAATTCCTACCCACTTTATCAGTAAACTATATATTAAATAAAAAACACTTTAAAAGCGTTTCAAAACTAAATGTCAGCAAACAGCACGTAAATATCACCCAAAACAAAGGAAACCCAAAGCAGCCCCAGTCTATCCACAGCAGTTGCTTTTCTTGACCTCTGTGGTATTGTTCCTTGTAACAGCAAAAAAGGACCTGAAACCTCGGCTTTGTTCTGAATATAACATTTCCATCTCAGCACTGCTGTCCTGTGCCAGGACGTAAGAACCACAGCTAATACCACGAAACTTGTCAAAAATGTGCAGCAGTTAAAGTTGAGACAGACTGGTTTTTAAAGGTTAAGCTTTATAAATGGCAACAACATTTAGCACCTCCCCAGCATCTCCCACCTGCAACTCGGGAGTGCTTGATAAACATTCGTAAAAGTGAAGCCTTTTGAAGCCCTCACGCAAGAAAAGATATTTATTATGATCTCCAGCTGGAGGGAATTCAGAGCAGAGCCAATTCTCTGCAGTTAACAGGGGAGTTCTTCATGGGTCGGGGAACGATACATCACCCCACGTAAGGTTGGTGTCACTATGTAGGACGCTCTGCCAGGTCCCACGTGATCCCTGGGATAGACCTTACCCCTGGTGCAGAGGCTCCTCTGAATCATCGCTGGGACCTCGGGTCAGCCCAGGCAAAGGGTGGAGAAAAGTTCCAGGCTGCCTCTGCTTTCATCAGCCTCGCTGACTCGAAGCCCAGTAATTTGTTAGTGCCATGTCATGTGTGAAAATGTGACGGCAGTTTTACTTTACTAAGTAGATCCTCCCGGGGGAAGACATTGCCTTGAACTTAAAAGGCCAGGCAGTGGAGCATCCCTGCTTTGCACCTGGTATTTTCCCTGTTATTATGCACCTCATTGAAGTCCCAGAACTGCTACTGGGCAGCTCCTCGGTGTTCAGATTTGCATTTGAAGAACATGCATAACTGTCAAATAGCTTGTCACAGTCCATCGAGGTGATTTGCTTGGATTTTCTATCCCACCATTATTTTCAGGCTCTCCACCTCTCGGTCTAATCTTTCCTGTCCACCTTGGCTGATGTTTCCTTATGTTTACTTGGTAACCTCAATTTCTCTTCACATCTTTGTGGTATTCTGTGCTGGCTCTGCATTTGCAATCCTAGACACAGCTACAGCTGTTGCACGTACATTAGGTTATTACTGAATATTTCCTTCTTCCTCTTAGCATCCTGTCCCCTCTACAGCTTTGTGCAATTTGATTTCACTCACTGCTGCCTCCTTCCCACTCTTCCAAAATTCACTCAAATTTAGTGCCCTCACTTGACTTCTTCCACTTTACTGAGATATAGATAATGACAACTGATCATTTTCAGTCTTGTTCCTCGTGTTTGCAGCAGGTTGCTGAAATCTCACTGTGGCTGGTTTGATATTTCATGTTTCTGACACATCTTTGCTACCTTGGGGTTCCTTCCTAAAGGATGCCATCAATGCTCAAAATACTTGAAACACCAGTTCTGCCCACTCCCCCCTCCCCGAAACCAACGGCAGAATCTCCGTAAGTCCAATAAGATACGGAAAGAGTTGGAAGGGACCTTAAAGATCATCTAGTCCAACCATCAACCTAACTCTGACAAAAAAATAAATAAGAAATAGGAAATAAAAATTACTAAACCATATTCCTGATGGCCATGTCTACCCATCTTTTGAACACCTCCAGGGATGGTGCCTCAACCACTTCCCTGGGCAGCCCATTCCAATGCTTGATGGGAATTTCAGTGAAGAAATGTTTCCTAATATGCAATCTAAACCTCCCCTGGCACAACTTGAGGCCACTTCCCCTTGTCCTATCTCCTGTGACTTGGGAGACCATCCATCCACCCATCCATCCACTTTTTCACCATTACAAGCTCTTCTTATGCTCTTCGCGCAGCTCTATAAACACAGGTCTTCCTGTTATGTTCAGCATCCAATGATGAAATTCTGTCATTGCTGTATGGCCTCAGTGGGAGCATCTGCATTTCTGCATTCCCCATCTGCAGTTCTGGGGAAGAATTTTTCACTCTCTTTTCTGGCAGTATGTGAAATCTCCGACCATCCCTCTCCAGCCAGGAAGTCTGCTTCCTTATTGAGGCACTCACTGAAACGCTGCTTCAAACCCCACTGGAATCAGTGGAAAGACTCCAACTGGCTTCCACGAACTTTGGATGAAGCCCTGATCAGGCACTCCATTCCCTGGGGTGCTTTGGGCTACAAGCTATTGTGTAGGGAGAGAAGAGTCTGTTGATCCACGCCGTACTGACTCATTACTGTGGTGTCTGGGCACACACTATGGGCATTGCATCACATCCAGTCTTTACACCTTCAATGCTGGGAACAGACATTCCCTGGTTGTGTTCAGCCACAGGCCATCTGCCCTGGCCAAAGCAGGTTAGGAGGAACAAAGCCAAAAAGCAGAAGATCAGGGTGCTGACCAGTCTCAGGCTGGGACGTACTCTCACCAGGAAGGAATGGCAATGACCTGCCAGTGCGACCTCTACCAACAGCTCCCACCCTTGCTGTGAGAATACAGGTCATCGGTTGGCTTGGCCATGGTCAACACGTGCCCCAGGCCCTGCTCTTACAGATCTCATCACATCAGTTCATCTAGAACAAACCGTGATCGCAGGAGACACTTTGCATACGGACAGATCATACCTTGGTGCCATCCAGAGGGTCTTTATGGACAAATGCCTGCACAAACTCCTCAGGTCCAATGTGACTCAGCCTTTCCTGTGAGAGGGGGGAAAACAGAGAGAAAGAAATGAGAAACCACCCCAGAATCTCTACTGCTTCTCTTGGTAAGACATCCCTGTTACCTGTCCGCTCTGAATGGTGTTACTGAACAGGCAGATGGCCAACTAGCACCAGACATTAAAATTCGTAAGAACAATTAGAGTTATTTCAGTAGAAAGAAGAAAATGAGAATAAATACATCTCATTACTGACAAGCCACAGTAAGAGACCTTTCCAATGCACAGAGAGAAAGGTGCTGGATGCACATGGTCCCATCTGGGAGCCAGCAGACCTCAGTTCTGCGCTTGGCACTTCCACAGACCTGCTATGGGCCAGCATCACTCAACAGGCTTGCTCCGTGGCTGTTAAAAGGGCAGCAATGCTGTCCTCTGTGACCACAGCAACCCGTTGCTCATCTGCACCACAGTGCTCTGACCCTACCTCCCTACCCAGGGAAGCTCGGGTGATGCCCTGGGGTGGTGACTGTATGGCACTGGGGTAGAAAGGCATTGAAGATGCACAGATTTACATTAAAGTCACTGCTTACACTGAAGAGTGTCCCGGGCATTAACCAAAACAAGAGTAAATAAAGCATCCAGGTCCCTCTTAGTAAAAGACAGGCCATCTCCACCATTACAGAGGTCCTGAACAGGACCTGAATAAACCTGGCAGTTCTGGCTACACCACTGGCCTTCTAAATAGGCTTTTCAATTCCCTTAAATATGTTTATTAGAAAAAAATATTTTAAGTGGGTTGTAGGTCCCAAAGGTATTTCAGAGGAGGTATTTTGGAATTCCTACAGCCCAAACATAGGATACTTAAAGAACAATAAAATCAATGGTAGTTTTGCTTAAGTGAAAATTTTATGGCTATTCCCATGCTGTTTCTCTTGGCTTCTCACCTTGCCACTGAGAACTGTGCAGGACTCGTTCCAACAAATAACTGTTATTAAATAAGTAGCAAATAATTCTTACTAACAAAGAAGCATCAGCCAGTTTTAGAGCAGAGGAGCTGGTGTACCGGATGCAGGAAGTGAAAGAGAAGGTAGAGACCAGTGATTACAGGGAACTGGAGTGAAAACCCCTGGCTGCACCGTTTTTAGAAGTGCAGTGGTGCCCTGGTGACAGGGAATCTCCCCTTGGAAGACAGTTGTACTGTGGAGCAGAAGAAAAGCAAGAGAAAAACTCCAGGCAAAAGGAGTTCTACTCTCTGGCTTAGGATATATAAAGCAAAGAAAGCCAAAGTTGCACATTCTAAAAATTAACCAAGGTGAGATGATCCTAAATTTGGCGTTTCTGAGCTATTCCACTTCTTGACAAATAGAATATCAACTACCTTCAGAATTCCCAAGGCTAATTCCATTCACTCCAATCCACAGTCCATTTCATGGTTTGTTTTTCCAGCCTTCCTCTCAAGGATGAACACTGTCTAGAGGAGGACAGGCAACAGGGAATCGTTACAGCATCAAGAGATCTGCAGATGGCAGCAATGTTTTATGTTCTTCTTTGAACATCCAGGAGGTCTACACAGAGGACCTGAACCTGGGAGAAGGGTGTGCAACACAACATTCTGTCTAACATCCTGGTACTGTAACTAGAGCAGTGACCATCAAAAGCCTGTTTGAGAGTTTCTGTCTGAGAGTGCAGTCCAAGGAGGGCAGCAGGAGAAGTTGGTGTGGGTGGCACTTGCACACCCTTGAATGTCCACGCAAGAAGTCCCAAAGGGAAGAATGAAAAACACATGAGACAACTCACATGCTTTGTGGATCTGTAGGAATGGATCTGAACTGTTAAAATGTCTTCCAAATTAATAAAAAGACTAATGACCAGCCATTTCAATGGAACCCTCAGGTTGTGGGGCTCAGAGCACCTTACAGAAGAGGGAACCCTTCAATCTTTTTGGGACAATGACTTGCATTTCACAAATAAACAAGCTGAAAACGTGACCTGCCCCGAGACACACAGGAGCACCTGATATATTCTCTCTTCCTGAGCATCTCTTAACCTGCCAAACCCTGCTCCTGCTGCAGTGCTGATGCAGCACGGGATGTGCTGCAGCAGTGCAGGCACTTTTTGGTTATGTCTGGAATACTTAACAGCTGATGGCTTAAAATAATATCTCCGCCTGCAGAAGTTGGGAACCTTTCCCACTTACCAGCTCCACATGTGTCAGCTGCTGAGCCAGAGTGTAAGGGTCGCTGCAGACGCTCAGGATTTCTCTCTGAATTGATGGAGGTTTGTTTTTAAAGGCAACCAGCTTGTCAGAGACAGCAGCACTGATCTTAACAATCCCTTCTTGCCCATGGCTGAGGGTTGCAAGCTTCTGGTTCAGGGTTTGCAAAAGCTGATTCATCTTTTTCCAATAGGCCTGGAGAAACAGGGAGAGAAAGAAACATAAACCACCCACAAAACTTGACAAAGGAGTGTTTTTATGCTGAATTTTCCCTTCTGCAAAATACTCCTAAGCCAGCAACAGGTTACCATTTTATTTTCAACAAGCCTATTTCAGAATAACCAGTTGGCTTAATTACAGTTCTGTGCTCTGGACCACAGAAAGAGGCTGCAGTCGAGAGAGGAGGCCGGGAGGAGTGGTGGGTTGGGCTGGCACCCGTACTCACAGATTCCTGCCAACGTGAGGGTCAGAGGAGAGGTAATGCTGCAACAGGAGTTACTGGAGCTTTCTGGAGCATGGCAACGTTTGGTACCTATCCTTTATGTCAGCTATGTGTTGGATGAGAACTCTACCTGTTAGTGGTGCCTCGTCAACTCTTTTTTATTAGGAATATGAAATGTTTTTAATGCTATTCTCTCCATCCTTGTGAGCCGGGAGCAGCAGAAGCATGCTGCTACTTGCTACCCAGTTGGAGTGGTCTGAGCATCATGTAGCTTTGAGTATTTAATATCCAAAATGTTAATTCCACATTGCTGAGGAACCTCTCTTTTCACTCAAGGAAGATGCTCTCTTGAGCTTGGCTGGAACAGGGGCCAGATAAGCAGGACGTAGTCAGGCTTTTTTTGCAAAACAGAGTCTGAAATGAAGCAAGTACCCAGAAAGCAGGAGGGACTTGCCTTGGGGAATGACAACAGACGTTAAAATCACACAGGAGGAGTGAAAAGTGAGAGAGGAAGATGTAAAAATAAGGAATTAAAACATTTTTCAGGAAATTAAAAAACATTCTTTTGTTTTTTATCTGTTCCTGATACATACTAGCTCCAAGGAGGAGAGACTACTGGCCTTCTTCATGCAATTCCTCACTGAAGCAGATGGTCACGCTTGATTTACAAAGACTGTCCTGGACCCAAACTACCGAACACCATCTAAATATTTCCCTGGTTTACATCCAGGTGTGTTTGCAAATCTGAGCACAGCTTATCAAGCTCTATGAATAGAATGTTATTTTTCAGTGGAAACTCAAATAGCGGCATATTTGGTATTTTGTGAACACATTTTGTAAACAGGGGAATTTGTTTCGGGGCAGGCACAACACTGAAATCCAAGTCTTCTACAGAACATAAAACATTTGGCTAAAAACCTTTTAGCTGGAAACCCAGTTCTCTTTCAAAAAGGAGTTTGGATGAGAATTCTTAGGCCAGCCATGTTTGTGCAGTATCAAATTCTTCACTTTTGGGGGAAAAGCCAAAAAGCAGCGTAATATTGGTTGAAAGACATGCACATTAGTCAGTCAATAAATCCTTATCAAGAGATCTAGTTTCACCTAGTTTGTAGGGAATATGGCATATTAATATAGATATATACAACAATAAACAAAGACTCAGGTAAGCCAACCACCTAATACAGAATGAAATACGAGATGCTCAATGGACACAAAAAAGATTATTCAGAAATTAGAGCTCTTGAAGAGACTCACTGAAAATCAGTTGGGTGCACCCTTGCCTAGAAAGCTTTTCTCTGTGTGCTGGGAGAGAAATTAAAAAAAAATAATATCCTGTTTTTGCCCTTTTAAAAACATTTCCTGCCTTCTTTAAAATATGTTCACAAAGTGAAAACAACATCGTTCATTACCTTCAACATGCTGGTAATTACCTTGCCACAAAGTGACCCCCCATTGCACGGGGGCTGCATGCTGGACTCTATCCACCGATTTCACTTCAGTGACACATTAAGAGTCAAAAGAAGCAGACTACTGCTTAATATTTAAAGAAAATGTTTCATTCTTAACCGGAAAAGTTCCTCGGCAGACGGCAGGCCTCAGCAGGTGGCTTTGGAGCTCAAATTTTAATTAAAATTTCTAACTCTAAATGCAAATCACAGCACTTACTAAGAAATGCTTCTCAGCATGGACACCTTTCTAAGCACATCACAGAGCCTTTAGAAAGTGGACTCTACAAAGGACAGGAGCACACACTGCAGGGGAAAACCCTGCATTAACCTACATGGACTAGATAACCTCACAAATCATTCAATATTTAATTTCTATGATCCACAATGGGAAAAACTTTCTTCCAAACAATAACGGGCACCACTACTCTCTTGTGCTGTCCCTTAGAAAAGGAAATTTGCATTTCCAGCTGTTTCTTAAATTAATTATTGATTTTGTTGAGGCATAATCACTTGCAATTATAGCGTGTAGCAATATTTGAAAAACAATGATTTTCCCCCCAGGGCACCCATAAGCACTGGTACACAGCTCTGCCCACTCCAGAGAGAAGGCATGGGCGTAACCTGAGCAAGTGCCCTGCTTGCTCAGGTTAGGGAAATAAACTATTGCTTTGTATGCAAAAACTTGATTTTTAACATTTATGGCTCTTCACCAGGGCAGCTGCTGCTTTTAAAGAGCATCCATGAAGCCCCTGTTCTCTGCCTGGTTGGCTGGTTCCTTCTTCCCAGTGGACATGACTTTGGTGGGTCTGTATAGGTTTCTCTCACTGCAGATGCTGAAGGGCTGCAAGGCACCTTTCTTGGTGGCTGGCAGGAGCAAGTTCATTGCCTCTTCCCCTTGAGGGAGATGGTTTACTGCTCTGGTCAATGGAATTAGGGCAGCTGCTGCTTTTAAAGAGCATCCATAAAGCCTCTCTTCTCTGCCTGGTTGGCTGGTTCCTTCTTTCCAGTGGACATGACTTTGGTGGGTCTGTATAGGCTTCTCTCCCTTCAGATGCTGAAGGGCTGCAAGGCACCTTTCTTGGTGGCTGGCAGGAGCAAGTTCATTGCCTCTATGGAATCGAGGCCACCTTGGCTTTTTCTGAAAGTCCTTTGTGTTCCCCTCACCTCCATCCAAGTGTCATGCAGCTTTCCCAGTGGACATGACTTTGGTGGGTCTGTATAGGTTTCTCTCACTGCAGATGCTGAAGGGCTGCAAGGCACCTTTCTTGGTGGCTGGCAGGAGCAAGTTCATTGCCTCTATGGAATCGAGGCCACCTTGGCTTTTTCTGAAAGTCCTTTGTGTTCCCCTCACCTCCATCCAAGTGTCATGCAGCTTCCCCTTCCCACCCCTTCTCTCCCACGGGTTGGCAGCCCAGCCAGCCAACCCATGCCAGCGGTGGCTGGCAGGAGCAAGTTCATTGCCTCTATGGAATCCTTCCCCTTCCCACCCCTTCTCTCCCACGGGTTGGCAGCCCAGCCAGCCAACCCATGCCAGCCTACAGCCACCCAAAAGTGCCAGCCGTGATGCCAGCCCAGCCCAAGAGCAGCTGTTTCAATTTATCTCCTGTTTCATGTGGGTAGGAGAGTCCAATTTCATTTCCGTTGTGCTGCAACCCTGCTGATTCCTTCTCTCTTCTCTCCACCCCTCTCATTCTTGGACTTAGGGATACGTGCTTTTTGTTCTACTGAACTGCACCCATCTGTGGCCTGAAGCCAGACCTTGATGTAGCCAATGGAACTGAATTCTTCAACATCCCATGGTTAACCTAGAAGTAATTAAAGACTTTCTATGTACTATTTGCTCTTATCCTTATTATTTGCATGCATTTTGTGGTATTTTTAATGTTTCTGAATTAATTTATGGGATTCACCCACCTGAATTTGCAAGCAGGTCTCCCAGAGACTCCGTTCACTGTGTCCTACTCTGCCACACACGTGGCTCGTGCATTGGAACACCAAGACCATAGAGCCATCTAGACTGAGTTTTGCCCAGCAGGCCACACACTGCTGCCTTCTGCCACTTCCATGCTCCCAGAAAAGCTATACATCCATAACCATTTCTATTTTCTTTACGTGTAAGGACTGTCCCTTGCTATCTCACCGTATCAGCCAAAGGGGCTGGGTTCGACAGGAGCTCTCTCTTGGCCCACAGACCCTGCGAGCTTTGAAGGGGATTCCAGTGGCATCAGGCAAACAGTGATGTCTGTCAGTCTGTGTCCCTGCTTTACAATATCAACCAGTCCGAGCACAAGGCCTGAGAACTCCTTTACACAGGACAGGAAGGTGTAAGGCAAACCCTTGCTCGATTCACTAATGAAAAAGATGACAAAATGCAAATATTGTTTTTTAAAAAACCAAAACTACCAGAGTGAAGACATGTAATGCACGAATGAAAAATTAGATTTAGGCACAGGTGATCAAGGACATAAGCAAATGGAGGTGGCGAGACAAAAAAAGACCATAAATGCCCTTTGGTGGTTATTCTTTCACAACTAGTCATTTTCTTAGAGAAAGGAAGCCTTCATCAGGTACCTTCAGGCAACTGATGATCTTTTTTAGCTCCCCAATGCAATCCCTTGACAACTGGCTGCTTGTTCCACTCTTTATTCACTAAACTGAACATCCTGGAGCCCTCCCTGAGCCACTGCTTGGCCAGGATGGTTGGTCCCAGGTCACGATACTTCACACCTCTGTTAGACCGTAACTTGGGAGGTCACAGTTCTGTTGCGATTTGAGTTGTGACCAGCACATTCACTCTGTGCTGTGCCTCACGTTCCATCTGTAAAATGGGAATGGTATTCTCTTACAATTTGATGTGCAGTAGATAAATTCCACTGATCACTCCAATGTGTCCCCATGTCACTGCAACAGGGGTTCCTAAACTGAGAGGTGTGGCTTTCAGGGGAGGTACTACAGGTTTTGACTGTTAGAGGAGAATAAAACAAGAGTAAGAGTTTCCAGGAAGAGGCATGGAACAGAACGTGGTAAAAAAAGGAAAATGAACATAATATCGGGACACAACGTCCCAGGTCAGACATCCTCACCTCGTCACACGGGGCTATCCTGTGGATCATGTCTTTCAGATGCCCAATCATCCGCTCTTCCTGAAAGTCATACGGGAACGTCTCCGTCCACTCTGTCAGCAACTGTAAGATTTTGGGTCCAAATTTTCTGATCCGTGCCTGAAATGACAACCAGAATGATGGACAGGGATTGAAACACATTTGCTCATTAAAGTCTCCCAGCAAATATGTATCTCACTGAAAGTGGGGCCAGATTTTCCAAGAAGGATCTGACGGTTGCACCTGCAAAATCTGCCCACATCCAAACAAACAGAGTGGTGCACAAATGATATATTTTGGCATGCAAAATATACCAGTACTTAGCTGCATGCACAACCGTCTGGTTTACATGCAGATTTAAATATTCTGCACATGTAATTGGCCAATTTATGGCTGGATGGACATTCTGTTGGTGCAACCTTTATACCTTTTTTAAAAACATCTGGCCTTTTTGCTCATTTCATCCACGTGTTCTTCTCTTTTGTACTTACAACCCTCCTATGTTTTCATCCTTTCCTGAAAAATTGATTGCAATGTATCTCTCGGCCAAAGAGGTGAGTATTTTGCTTTCTGGCCATAAGAAAAAACTGCTTGGTGACCACTGGCAGAGGTAACACGAGGAAGAAAGATGGACAAAACACCAGCACTTTAGTAACTTTACCTGGGCTACTGATAACGGTCTTCTCTGCCCACATGAGCTCAAGGTCATGATAGGACAAGAACAACCACTGAGATAACACACAGCTGATGCCCACTTCACTTGTGGTGGAGATTTATCTGAGGATGCAGCAGTGGGAATAGTCAGGAAGATATGGAGCAAAGAGGGAAATGTAGGGAACAGCACAACTGGTGCTTTAGTATTATCTCAAAAGACAGCCAGAGGGGCTGCTTCCAAAGCTTCCACTCTCCGTTATCCAAAAACACGTGAAAAGGAAATTGCGTTAAACAACAAACTGCCTTTTTATTTACAGAAAACACAGACCAAAACAAACAGCCTTCTCCTGCATCCTACGTACTGCAGCTAAAGTGTACCCTGTAATCAGGAAAAATTATACTCTTGAGCTCCACAGCTCTCTGCTTTTCAACCAAGGTGGTTAAAATGCATATTTCAGCTTTCCACCAACAACAGGTTTCAATGAACCACATCTCTAAAAATAACTGCTGTCAGCTAGCATTAAGCTCATGCTCAAAGACCAGCAGGTGGCTGCTAAAGGGAAAGCTTTATTGGGAACTACAAAGGTCTGGGGAGACATTTGCTCCAGCTGTATAAACTGCTGTGACGAATTGAAGGAGAGGACTGTGTTCATGTCACAGGACACAACTCAGGGGATGGGAGGTTTCAAAGTCAGCCCCACTCTCAGGAACACAACATCAGCTGCGTCCCACCACATCTGCATTACCAGAGTCTGGTCCAAAATGCAAGCTCATCTCAGGTAGATTGGGAGATCTTCATAATAAGCTAACGTTTCTCATTTCTTGTAAAGTTTATTGAGCAGCAAAACCTTACAATGTTCACAATGCTCCTCCTAAATTTGCATCTGCTGTAGCATCAGAGAACAGAACCCATCACTCCTCAGAAAAAAATGATTTGGATGCTGCACCTCATAATGGACGTTTCTATTACCACAAACTGTACGGGCAACATGAACACCAGGTTTCTATGTAGCCTAGCTGATGGCTCTCCATAGTCACTATGGGCAGAGCTCCAGTTACTGGGTAAAAACAAGCACACATGTTCAGTTGTTGGTGATTCAGTATTTGATGCCAAAAATACCATTTCAAAGCTGGAAAAGCTGATCTTGAGAATCATTTCAGAATTTGGAGGGTTTTTGGAAAGTCGCAACTCATGGACACTCTTCTTCCCCCCACTGCACTGAAGATGCATCTACTGCTCCAGGTAATGCACTGGAGAGGTCTTCACCAATGCAGCGAGGAGAGCTTGGGTGGAATCCAGCACTGAATAGGATCCAGTGGGATCCCTCTCCACCGTAGCGCCTGTGGGACTGCCGGAGGATGCACATGTGTTGTTACACACCAAATCAGTCTGCACAGTCCCTGGGGCAAAAGAGGAGGAGTGCTGACGCAGTAACAGCTTGGATTTTCTCATTCTGGTAGCTTGTCACAACCCCACTACTGCTTCAACCCCTTCCTGGTGTGCCAGACAGCGCCGCTCCGCAGCACAGGGCGATGCGTCAGTGCCGGTAATGGGAGGTTAGTGGGGAGCTGCATGCTGTTAGGTGGTGTTCAAAGTGACAGGTAAGGCCAAGAGGAAATATTTCTGCACCAGAAGCACGAAAGCAAAAAGGGCAGACGCCTTCAGTAAAAATGGGAGAGTGGTCTGTTGACATCTGCAGCTGACAGTCTGTGAAGTCTACGTCCTACCTCCTTGCATCCCGCAGGCTTCAGCAGAGCCTTAAAGAAGTTAAGAAGGAAAGTCACCTGGGAAGACTGAGACAGGGGGAAAGAGAAAATTAGATGAAGATTTGAATTGACTAGTGCCTGGAGCGCTGCTCTTGGACATGGATACTAGGATGCCTCAATGTCAGGATCTCAGCGGCAACTGTCATCCTTTATGAGAAAGTTTCGTTCCATCCAAAGGGAGGCAAAGGACACACACCAAAACCTCAGAATTTTCTGCCCATTGCAAATACCTCACATTTTTCTGCTGTAAAGATAAACTAACCTTGTCCAGCACGGGGTCGTCCAGCCGCTGCTGCTCAATGCACTTGTGACAAACTCGGGACAAAAGCTCATGGGGTTCGATGAAGAGTCTGGAACTCAGCAGGAATGTAAAGATATAGGCTTTCTGCAGGAGAAAGACAAGCAGACCTGCTGTAAGCAGCCACACAGTGCATAACATTAGCCATAAAAGCCCCCAACTCCACAGCTTTTACATTTCCACTGGGACAGACTTTTATGTCTAAAAGATATAAGGATTCCTGACCCTGAAAATGGAACTGGTTACAGTGGGTGCAGGAGGCCGTGGCACCTCCTTCCTTCACAGCACCCAATTCCAGCCTTTGGTTGCCCAAGCTCTGTGCAAACATCCAGCAAAGACAGTGTGTAGATTCTTCTACAGGAGCAAGCCCAGGTATAGGAGACAGCACAGCCAGGGATGCACAGAGATCAGTGAAAGCTAAACGTATAGATACTCAGGCATCTCTCTGCTCTGCTGGATGTGAGCCCCAGCTTCATCACATCTTGCTATAACCCCACAGGTCACACCCAGCCTGTTATAAGAAATATTTCATTTATTTTACTAACTCCCCAAAATTAAATTCTATCAGCCAAGCCATACCGTATGCAGTCTCACATCTGTGAAGCTCTGGGAAGCAGGACTGTTGGATAAATCTTTGGATTATTTAAAGTCTTCCAGCAGTGAATTTAAAATATATGCATGAATCCTCAGTTGTTTGTATCCTGACCCCTCCTGGTGCCTGAATTATCTTCTTTCCCCCAGACCTAGCCATGTTCCTGAGCAGCAGGTATAATTATTACATTTCACACATTGCTTAATGAAAATCTCACAGCCTAATCTGTCCATTTCCTATTTTTATTGCCTTTCTGTTCTTTTTTTTTTAATTGATATGCTTCTTTATTACTTATTTTTAGCTGATCAGAAACTGAGCTGTGGGTAATTTAAAACATGCTGTCTGCTCTGCATTGATAACTTTTGTAGTCTTCTAAACTGCCCAGAAGTCAATGCTACTCTGTGCTTTGAGCCTTTCCATAGAGATATATTAGCACTTAAAAGTCTTTCAGTCAAACTCTGTCCTGAATTCCACTGAGGACGTGCAAAATCCAGTGAAGTCAATGGCTTGCAGGACCATAAACCTGCTCCCAGTTTAGATCCTCAAAGTTGGATCCTCAATGTTGGTGCAGAAATGCTGAATATTCTATGATTCTATATTCACTGATGGAGCAAGGATTAGGATCTGGACAGTGCCATCCAGTGACTGCACAGTCGGTGTGGATATAACTGGAGGTAAATTATGTACCCATCAGAAGGGGAGTCTTTGCTGTCACTGAGGGAATGCTTTGTACATGCAGAAAACCTGGACGACTTCAGCAGCTCCTGAAATTCAGCTGATTTAATGCCAGTTCAGACTTGAAGTTTTTTGCTTCAGTCTCCATCTAAACCTCTCTGGGATGCACTGCTATTTTTGAAGTGCTCCGACTGCTGTATCACTAATTCATCACCACCACAGCTTCCCCCCCTCAACCCTGTTCTCTTATTTAAAGGCAGTATCAAGTTTGGGATCTGCTTTTTCATGGGAACAATTATAGAGCAGTGAAACAGCATTTAAAGCAATGCATCAATTTACCAAGCTTTAATTGTATGCAGTTTTTAAATTAGCCTTCTTAATTCAAAATTTAACACATTTGCACTTTTGCATAAAGCGCTGCCCCAATTCATCAAAATTAAACTGTTTATTATACTGTGAATTGCTTACTTCAGGGTAGTAATCAGTGGTAGGTATCAGATGCTGAATGAGAGCATCCAGAGATGCTGAGGTAAGGTTTCCATCCTGGAAGATCAGTCCTCCTTGTTCATCTTCTTTTGAAGTATGTAGATGAGGGCTGAAGCCACATGGGGTAAACATACTGGTAGAACTCAGCGTTTGGGGCATGCCTTCCTGCAACAGAGAGAAACTCACATCAGGGACAAGACCCAGCAGTTTCACTGCCACATCTGTCTTCTGCTTGATTTGAAAAACACAAGCCACTAATGAGAGCTTCCTGTTCACAAAATTAACATGATCCGTTCATTATAACCTCCTTTACAGTTGTCATTGGCAGATCATGCCTGTGACGGGAAATTAACAGGAAAATGGGACATTTAGATGTATGCTTTTGGGCCAGGAAAGAACAGCAGCTGCTCTGGGCTCCCGCTCCAACTGCGAGCTCCGTGGTGATCCCTTTTTTGCTACCAACCCCACTCAGTCCCATGTAGGAGAGACAAGACCCTTGGGACTTGAATTGAGTTCCTGAGCAGACCAGAGCTGTCAGCTCAAACCTCTGTCCCCCTGAGAATGAGGCAGGGAGGATTTAGGATGAGAGGGAGAGAAAAGGGGTGCCACCCCAGGCTTGCTCAGGACGGACCTTGAGAAATGCTCTGTGGCTCCCACGGGACAGGAGAGGCGTCGGAGTGAGTGAGGGGAAGCAGAGGAAGCCCAAGTCAACTGGAGGAGGATGGAAAAATGAAGGGAGTTGGAGGGAAGAGAGGACGTGGGAGCTGAAGAAGAGATTAAAGAGCAAAGAAAAGAGAAATGAGGAAGAGGGAGAAGGCAGACACCTGCTCTATTTTTGGAGCCTGGAGTTAGTCAGTCCTAGATCTATACTTAGGCACTAAATAAATGTTTCAAAAAGATCCCGAGCACTCATCGACTTCACTAGAGATGCACAGAGTCCTCAGCACCTTTGAAAAGGAGGCCAGGCAAACTCTGAACATGTAGCCCAGTTTCAAACTCCCTGCATTTCAGTTTTCTGGGCTCCCTGGGTTTCATTCCAGGCTCCATCTCAATCGTGTGACTTACAACCAGATTTAAATGTTTCTTCCACTAAGTAAAGTTGGTTTGTTCCTGATTTGTTGCAAGGGGATGATAGATTTTGCCTTGAGAACTTTAAAGCATCTCCAGCTGTCTCTGAAATCCCACCCCTCTCAACTAGAAGCAGAATTACAGGATGTGGACTGGGAACAGGACAGTGCATGTTCACTCCCAGGTCAGCAAACAGACCCAACTTGACAATTTGCTTCTAAATTTGATTTTACTTGGTACAAGGGAGGCTGGGAAAGAGATGATGGAAGGGAAGAGTCTTGGAGCCAACCTCTACTCCCCTGAGCAGCTACAAAACTTCTCCCAGGCCTCCAGCTCTCCCTCCCAAGCACAACCTCTTTCTGCTGGAAGAGCAAGATCTGCGCCCTGCGGCCGGCTGAGCCGGCACCGACCTCCCAGGGAGGGAGGCCCAGGGCCACCGGCCGACACCGCCTGTTGCTGCTGCTCAGCCACACGCAGAGACACCTGATTTTCCAACACATTTCTCTGCCCTATTCTTTGCCCTGTTCCCTCTGGTTTTCTGCCTCCTCGCCATCCCACACAACTTCAAAAGCTGCCCCATGGATTTGGCTTGAAAACTAGTGTTTCTCCCTCGCATACGTGTGCTGTGACTCAGCTCAGCCTTACTCACAGGCACACGTGCTGTATTTGCTCCTGCAGAAGCACCTCTCTGCCTGGCACAGCCTGTCTACTCCCCCAACCTCAGGCTGCTCCAACGTGTGCCAGCTCCGAGCCACCGTGGGCCACCGGGGCTGAGCAGAGCAGCGTGCCCGTAGCCAGGCAGGGTGTGAGGCCCTGGGAGAGGCTGGGAGCTGGGTCCCAGCACCGTGGGAGATCAGGCTCTACCAGCAAAACTTGGGTGACTTCATCCTTCAAAAGGAGGGACCGTTCCCCGGGAGCCAGCGGTTCGGTTGCTGCGTCTTATCTCCTTCTGGGAGGCTGACACGGCGGGGAGCGCGGGCTGCCCTCGGGATTTGCAATCAAACAGAAAAGGAACCCAAATGTCAAAACCAACAAATTCCTGCCTGGACTGAAAAAATAAAATAGATGTCAGGGATTTCAGTTTAAAGACCAGACTATCGGAACGTCACCCCAGCCAGAAGGGAAGCTGAAGTATCTAGTTTTAATGAATGTGCAGATGTGCCTGTTAATAAGGCTCCAAGAGCAAGTAATTGCTGCTTTTTGTACACAGCTCAGACTCTGTGTAGTAAATGGGAGAGGCTGCCAAATCCCATTTGTTACTTCTAACACGCTCTGTGTTACGTCTTGTTTCTATGGCAATAATCCCGAGAAGGACTGCATGTCCATATAGATCAAGAAATAAATCTCATGGACATACAGCTGTCTAGATGAGGAAAAGGAAAAGTTCAAGCAGCTGTGAACTTACAGGACACATCCTGGCTTCAGCGTAAAACAGAACTCAAAGTAATAATTTATTCAGTGCAATCCTTCACTGTCAATGTCATTTCTATTACCAAATAGAAATGTATCTGAACAGGATATTGCCTGAACTTTTGCATCTCATTACGTGAGAACTCTTCCCCAAATACATAGTAATGCTTCTAAAGAAAAACTTACCTTTTTTCTTTAAACTGAATAAAAACATCTGTACAACTGTCACTGAGACATCCAGGTAGGGTATTGTTAAGAAATAAAATTTGACTTTTTATTACAAAGTTCCTGGTCTAATCTCAAATTTCTGTGTCACACCTGAACTGGTGCCTAGTTGCCACCTTACTTGCCACCGAAGAAAACCTGAAGGTTTTAACTTCATGCCTTTTTGCTCCCTGTTAACTGATATGGTTACGTTCACAGCAGGATGATGGCCAACTGTACAAAGACTAAAAACTTCTTGCACTACTAAACTTGATGATAACTAACATTAGTACTTGGCTGACAGGAATTTAGAACAGGGCCTTCTCTGCTCACAACACCTAATTTCTTTTTCCGTTCATGCAATTTCCAAAGTACTCTTTTCAAAAGTACTAAATGGAAACAAGATCTTGCTTTGAAAGAGCCCAAATACGTGATTGCCTGTGATAGGCAGAAGATGAGGTTATGCTGACAATCACTCACAGAACACAGAAACAACAGGGGAAGACATGAGAGGTCCCTTCCAATTAACTTTCTGTGATTCTAATACACATCTTTCTTGAATTGTTGCAGTACTGCCCTATTTCTAGGCCTTTTAATGTAAACCATGGGCAAGTAAAAATTGAGTCCAGATCATTAGATATTTGTAAGGAAGTCCATATTGGACATAAAAACCTTTTTCTACTTTTCTTGGAAACAATGGCTAAACATGGCCCAAAATCTCACTTGGACTTAACCCGAAGTCAATGAGATTTAAGCACGTCAAGAGTCAGCAGGTGAGTGCTTCCCTGAACTTCAGTCCGGCACACCATGTTTTGCCATTCCTCTCACTTCAGAAGAGCATTAATCTTACAAAAAAATGTTATGTCCACCACCAGCAGCACCGTACAAACAATAATCCCAGCTCTGTGCAGGTGGTGCTGAGCAAGAAGGGACAAGAAAGGTCCCTCCACACCTGTTGGGGCACTTTGCAGTAAGGTGTCCTCGTGACCCTCTATCCCCAAGAACGAGGAGAACAACGGTTTCACACCGGATCATAGTGGGCTTTTCAACCTTCTCCCACGTCTTGGGGTTGCGCATTCTGTGGAGGATTCTCTGATTGGGAAATACAACGGCTCAAGCAACAGCTTGTTCAACAGTGGCTTTTTTGGACTATAAAGTTGGTTTTGCTGGAAGTAAGCCCATTGCCACTGCAGAGGAAATGCACTTCTGGGGTTTTATGGTAATAACTGGAGCGGGGAATCTTCTCCTGTATTTATTTCTACCTCTGCTCTTTTTTTTTTGCTGCTCTTCTGTTTCATCATTCATCATTCTTGGCTTTTATTGGCTATTATAAAGTGTCTTTTCCTTACATTCTTCTAATACATCTCATATGTTCATAAGATTGGAAAGAAATTAAAAAATAATGGCAATATACTGCTTTTTAATCTTTCTCCACTGGCCAGGACAGCTCCGTATTCCAACATAATGATGAAAATAGGTGATCCATAGACACTTCTCACTACAAATCATGCTGCTTGCACAAAAATATTTAAGGACAATTCACTGAGCCAAAGCATAGAATCAAAGGATCGCTCACTACAAATCATGCTGCTTGCACAAAAAAAGGACAATTCACTGAGCCAAAGCATGGAATCAAAGGATCACCAATTCTTGGGAGAAAAGCCACCCACAAACTCTGCACATATCTACATCTGCAAGTGCCTTAAAAACACTGGAAAACGAGTGCCCAAACCTGGAAAACTGAGCAGGGCATGGCCTAACCATGCACAAAACACAGGCCCACCAACCCGCAATGAGAGAGCTTCAACACTCTGCACATATCTACATCTGCAAGTGCCTTAAAAACACCGGAAAACGAGTGCCCAAACCTGGAAAACTGAGCAGGGCATGGCTTAAAGAAAGGACTGCCTAACCATGCACGTAACACGGGCCCACCAACCCGCAATGACAGAGCTTCAACGTGCTAAAGGATGGCTAACAGGCTGCCAGCTCTGCCTTCTTGGTACCAGCCGGGTGACCTGCAGAAGAACCATGAGCTGCCCCACCAGCATTCCCCAACTCCCACCATCTGCTGTCACAAATGTCCCCGTGGCAAGTAAAGTTAATGCTTATGTGGACACGAAATGTTCAGGAAACATTTAATGTGTTTTTCAGTGGCTTTGATGTGATAAGTGTTTTATCCTTTATCAAAACCTTAATCATGCTGTTTACTTTTGATCTTCATTTCATCTCTGCCTTCCATCTGCTCTGCCTCTCTCAAGGGGAAACAAGAGCTGGTACCATGTGACGACTGGAACGGGGCTGCAGACTTATCTTCCCACCCACTTAACTTCCAGATTAACAAAATAAATAAAACCCTTCCCACTTCAGGGATGAAAGGCACAAGCTTTTGACAATCTCCCACCGTAATTACAGGAGAGGACGGTAAGGGAAGGTGTGGAGGCTGGGCCACCTTCCCCCTGTGCCACAAGGGAGACTCCAGT